TTTATAGTTCAAAAACATTTTTTAGACTTCTGCAGGATTTATTAATTTTCCATTCTGCATGTTCTAAGTTCCATGTCTATTAAAGTGCATGTAAGTTCTATGACTTAAAAATATAATTTTATTTTCAAGTAATACTGAAGCTCTAGTAGCTTGTTTTCTAGTTTCAGTTAATAGATATTAGATATATAACTGTTCTCACGTGGAGACTGAAGAAATATTTTGAAGTTGAAAGGGAGCGTCATATTAAAATACTTTAGTTTGGAAAGTCTTAGGTAGAAAGTTGAGAAAAGTGTCTGCTAAAGTGTCTTTCAACTCTCCTATGTTTTCCTAATGGCTCTCATTTTTTCCCAAAAATGTTTTACTGTCTTTTTAAATTGAATTTATTGGGTGACATTGGTTAATAAAATCATATAGCTTTCAGGCATACGATTCTACATTACCTCATCTGTATATTGTACTCTGTGTGGGCCACTCCAAGTCAAGTCTCCTTCCAGCACCATTTATCCCAACTTTGCCCTCTTCTATTCCCCCTCATTCTCCTTTCATTCTGAGGCTATGAGGATTTTTGTTTGTTTGTTTTGCTTATCCTTCACTTTTTTTTTTTTTTTTTTGCTTAATCCCAGGCCATCCCCTCTCCCTCCCTCTCCCACCTTCCATTCTCTCTAATAGCTGTCAGTCTGTTCTCTATATCTATGAGTCTATCTCCCCTTTGCTTGTTAGTTTATTTTGTTCTTTAGATTTCACATAGCAATGAAATCATATGGTACTTGTCTTTCTCTGACTGGCTTATTTCACTTAGCATAATAATATACAGGTCCATCCATGCTGTTGCAAGAGGTAAGATTTTAATGGCTGAATAGTATTCAGTTGTGTAAATGTACTTCAGCTTTTCAATCTACTCATCTACTGATGGGCACTTGGGCTGCTTCCAAATCTTGGCTATCTATGTAATAAAAGCCTAAGCAACCATTATGGCAGAACGATCAGAATGACTGGTCACTATGATGCTCACTGACCACAAGGGGAGAAAAGCCCAACGCAGGAGCTGCCCACTGGGGGTCAGTGCACTCCCACAGGGGGAGCATGCTCAGCCAGAAGCCAGGCTCATGGCTGGCAAGTGTAGCTGCAGTGGCAGGAGCCTCTCCCACCTCCACAGCAGCGCTAAGGAGCAGCAAGCAGGTGGTCAGTAAGGAGAGAGGGTCCCGGACTGCTGAAGGACCCCTCCTGGTCCTATCCCCCCCCAGTGTCCACTAGTTGTAAATAATGCTGCCATAAACATATGGGTGCATCTATTCTTTCGAATTAATGTTTTGGGTTTCTTTGGATATATTCTCAGTAGAGGAATTCTGGGTCATTAGATAGTTCTATTTTTAATTTTTTTGATATAACTCAGTGATTGCACCAAATCTGCATTCCTACCAACAGTGCATTAGAGTTCCCTTTTTCCCACATCCTCGCCAATACTTGTTTGTTGATTCATTGATGATAGCCATTCTGACAGGTGTAAAGTGATATCTCATTGTGGTTTTAATTTGCATTTCTTTAATGATTCGTGACTTTAAGCATCCTTTCATGTGTACTGGCCATTGTGTGTCGTCTTTGGAGAAATTTCTATTCAGGTCCTTTGTTCATTTCTTAATTGAATTATTAATTTTGATGTTGAATTTTATAACTTCCTTATAAATTTTGGCTATCAAACCCTTATTAATATATAATTATGTCTGTGTCCTCCCATTCATTGGGTTATCTTTTCATTTTGTTGATGGTTTCCTTTGCTGTGTAAAAATGTTTTAGTTTGATATAGTCCCATTTGTTTATTTTTTTGTTTGTTTTCTTTGCCTGAGGCAATATATCAGAAAAATATTGCTATGAGAAATGTCCAAGATTTTACTGCTTATGTTTTCTTCTAGGATTATCATAGTTTTGGGTCCAACATTTAAATCTCTAATCCATTTTGAATTTATTCTTGTGTATGTGAAAGGAGGTGGTCTGGTTTTTTTTCTTTTCTTTTGCAAATATCCAATTTTTCCAACACTTTATTGAATAGTCTATCCCATTGTATGTTTTTGCCTCCTTTGTAAATATTTACTATAAAGGTGTTAGTTTATTTCTGGGTTCTCTATTTTGTTCTAGATTTATATGTCTGTTTTTATGCCAATACTATTCTGTTTTGATTACTAAGGCCTTATACTATAGTTTGATATCAGATAGTGTGATTCTTCCAACTTTGTTCTTCTTTCTCAAGATTGCTGTGGCTATTCAGGGTCATTTGTGGTTCATATAAAATTTTGGAGTATTTGTTCTAGTTCTGTGAAATATGTTATTGGTATGTTGATAATAATTGCATTGAATCTATAGACTACTTTGGGTAGTGTGGACATTTTAATGGTGTCAATCTTCCTATTCATGAAGATGGTATATGCTTCTACTTATTTGTATCTTCTTCAGTTTTTTCTTCAGTGTCTTATAATGTTCTGAGAACAAGTTTTTTTAAATTGGTTAAATGTATTCCTAGGTATTTTTTTCTTATAGGCAGTTGCAAATGGGTTTATCTTCTTAGTTTCCATTTCTGATAGTTCATTATTGATGTGTACAAATGCAACTGATTTCTGGGTATTTTTTTTTTGTATCCTGCTACTTTACTGAATTCATATGTCAGTTCTAGTAGATTTTTGGTTGAATCTTTAGGGTTCTCTACATACAGTATTATGTTATCAGCAAATAATAACAGTTTTACTTTTTCCTTTCCAATTTGAATGCCTTTTATTTTTTTATTTGATTGCTCTGGTGCTGGGACTTCCAGTACTATGTTGAATAAGAGTGATGGAAGCCAATATCCCTGTTTTTTTCTAGATCCTAAGGAAACCACTTAGTTTTTGCCCACTGAGTATGATGTTGCTGTGGGTTTGTCATATATGGCCTTTATTACTTTGAGGCATGTTTCCTCTATTCCCATTCTCCTGAGAATTTTGATCATAAGTGGATGCTGGATTCTATCCAGTGTTTTCCTGCATCTGTTGATATGATCATGTGATTTTTACCTTTCTTTTGTTTATATGATATATCATATTTATTGATTTGTAGATATTGTACCAATTTTTCATCCCCAGAATAAATCCCACTTGATCATGGTGTATGACCTTCTTAATATATTTCTGAATCTGGTTTGCTAATACTTCGTTGAGGATTTTAGCATCTATGTTTATTAGGGATATTGGCCTAAAATTTTCTTTCTTTATAGTATCTTTATCTAGTTCTGTAATTAGGATAAACTGGCTTGTAAAATGAGCTTGGAAGTCTTTCCTGTTCTTGACTTTTTTAGAATAGTTTGAGAAAGATAGGCATTAGTTCTTTTTTGAATATTTGGTAAAATTTATCTGTAAAGCCATCCAATCTAGGACTTTTATTTATTGGGAAGTTTTTAAAATCTATTTATTTTTTATTACTGCTTCAGTTTCACTACTTGTAATTTATCTATTCAGAGTCTCTGATTCTTCCTAGGAATATATCCATTTCTTCCAGATTGTACAATTTGTTGACATAGATGTTCGTAGAGTTTTCTTACAATCCCTTTGTATTTCTTTGGAGTCAGTAGTTAATTCTCCTCTTTCATTTCTGATTTTATTTATTTGGGTCCTCTTTTTTTCTTGGTGAGTCTGGTTAAAGGTTTGTCAGTCTTGCTTATTTTTTCAGAGAACTAGCTCTTAGTTTTATTGATCTCTTGTATTATTTTTAAAGACTATTTTGTTTATTTTTTGCTCAGAACTTTATTATTTCCTTCCTTCTGCTCACTTTGGGTTTTATTTGTTGTTGTTTTTTTTCCAGTTCTTTTAAGTATAAGTTAGATTGTTTATTAGAGATTTTTCTTGTTTCTTGAAGTAGGCCTAAAATGCTATGGATTTCCCTCTTAGAATTGCTCTTGTATTGGGTTGAGTCTGGCCTCTCTTCTTGGGGAAGAGCACCCTCTCACAATGGTTCCTAACCGCCACCCTTAGGAGGGTATATTGCTTAAATCAGAAAGTCACAGGACGTTTGTAGGGGATCTGCTCCAAACCAGATAGGTACACTTAATCCCAAGACCACCCTGGAAGGAAGGACTGGTCTCAGGTGGGAAACCAAGCCAGAGAGGCTAAGTCACTTGCCAAGTTGCAGAGCCAGTGAGTGGTGGACCCAGCCAGGTCCCTCTGGCTTGTGCAGTGCTATCTCAAAAGATGACAGAGGAGAAAGGGGACTGGGCTTGGAAAGGCCAGCTGACTTTAAGCAGGTGGAAAGGGAGTGGCATTCCCTTTGTTGGGTTGTGTTGCCCAATAAAATACAGGACATCTAGTTAAATTTGAAATTCAGAGAGATGGCAAATAGCTTATTTTAGTGTAAGTATATCCCATGCACTATTTGAGACACATTGATACTAAAAAGTTTGTTCGTTGTTCCTCTGAAATTCAGACTTAACTGGGTGTCTTGTGTTTTGCTTAATATGTTTAATTTGGTCCGCTGCTTGGGACCTCAGGAAGCACACTGGGCCTACTGTATGGGCAGCTGAGGATGACAGAAGGTGATGCACAAGCCACCTGAGAAAGGCTGCACATTAGGTGGTGAATTCCCCGCTGCAGGGCGTGTTCAGGTGTAGGCTGGGTAACCACGTGGTGGGGGACATTTGGGTTTCAGATACCTGGTCCCAGTGAAAGTCTATGACATAAACATTTTTGAGACAAGAGGAGAGTTGATTCTCTGGGTCCACCCCAAGCTCTGTCCCATCTAGTGTTTAGAAGCTCTCTGATGCTGTTTGCCATCAACACATGCTGAGAGGACCAGGTCTCCCCACTGGCAAGTGGTGGATGACCTCAGCCTTTTGGCAGAAACCAGCCCAGCCAGCCTGGCCCCTTTAAAGGATCTGGTTTGGCTTGAAGAAGCGCTTTGTTGAAGGTGAAATGAAACATGCATTTTTGTCTCTCTTGCTGAGAACTGACTTGACTTCCTGGTTCTTTATCTGTCTCCTGCAGCAGAGTGGGACTTGTGTGACCTGCATCCCTCCTGAGCAACAAAAGCATGAAAAACACCCACCCCCCAGTTTCTGCACTGGCCCTTACAGGCAAGTGAATGGAGACAGAGAAGTTTTGATGTTCATTTCTCCTGGTTACAGATTCTGTGTACAGATTCTCTAGGTGTGGCTACCTCTCGTCAGCAAGACAGGGTTCTAAGCAGCTTGTTTGAGAGTGCCCAGTATGGCTTCTGCCCTCTTCGGAGGTCTAGCCCTTGGCAGGACTCCTCTTGCCCGCCTGCTTCCAGGCCCTGGTGGGCTCTGGGTAAGAGAAACATTTTGATGCATGAAGTGCTAGGTACCTGCAAAGAGGTGCAGTGGTGGTCATCTTGAACCCCAGATCGACTCTTCAGAGGCAGAGTGAGACAGTTTTAGGTTGGCCTGAGGAGGTCTGCCTCACGGAAGATGATTGTGACCTTGGGTGTGCTCAGCATCCTTATTCTGCACGACAGTACGCACAGCCTCCTGCAGATGGCGATCCTCAGCAAAGGAGATTAGAAACATGTTGATGTTAGTCTGTTCCAGAAAGCAATCAAGAGGCAAAAGTAAAATTTTACCACAAGTTCCAAAGCAGAGAGAAGTGGCTCCTTTCCCCCAGATGTTTTACCTTTGACTTAATTATCAAATTGAAAGTTATTAATTAAAAATAAAATGTTAAGTTAAAGCTAAGTCAAAATACCCATAGTATCAATAAAAGGTTTTTAAAATAACTATTTGTACTGATGCTATTAACTAGAATCCCCTATTGTTTTTCTGATCACTTGTTTAGTTGATGTATTTGTAAGCAGCAGGAGCACTCTGCTTGTTTTCCAGGAAGAATCACTGAATGGCTGACCTTTGACAACATGCACCACCAGTGGCTTCTGTTGGCTGCATGCTTCTGGGTGATTTTCATGTTCATGGTGGCCAGCAAATTCATCACCTTGACCTTTAGAGACCCGGACGGTAGGTATGCTGCCTTGTGGAGGGAATTTTGGCTAATCCAGACATTGCTGTGATAGTGTTTCTGAGGACATGCACAAATGACCTCTGTCACAGAATCCAAGGACTTTAGTTCTGGAAGATACTGGGGAGGTTATGGCATCCTCATCCTTAACCATATAGAGGTGCAGGGTGAAAAGGCAGGGGATGTTCTCACAGCTCCGCCTTTTGGGTGGACAGAATATGCTTTCTTGGTGGCTCCTCGGCGCCTCCTCCATGCCATCCCACAGGCTCAGAATCTGGGAATGTGTTCTAATTGGCATCATTGTGAGACAAGACTGTGGTTGATCAGCATGCCTGAGTGCCAGGTGGTGCTGTGCACTGCGGCCACATGCTTGAAGGTCACCTTGGTGCATCAGAAAGAAGGTGATTTTAATATGTGCATGTCAGGTTGTGCTTGAGAGTTTTTCACTCCCTTGACATGATGTGGACGGTCAGAGGAGGACACAGAGAGCACCAAGCCCAGCTTCAGCAGAGCTGCTTCTAGGTCTTGCTCTTGTCCTTTGCTTACCTGGGTCTTAGCCTCTAAGACTCACCTGAGCGCGGCGAGGCTCTCTGAGTGACCGGTGAAGTGCTGGGCATGCAAAGGAGGTGCAGTGATGGTCATCTTAAACTCCAAAGTGACTCCTTTCAGAGGCAGAGTGAGCGAAACACAGGGCAGATGTCAGAGGCTTAGGAGCGGTTTTAGGTTGGCCTGATGAGGTCTGCCTAACGGGAGATGTTTGTGGCCGAGGGTGTGATCATCATCCTTATTTTGCATGACTCTGTACATCCTGCAGATGGTGGCCCTTAGCAAAGGAGTTTAGAAAAATATCACGTGAGCACTTTCCCGGTTTTCTCCTGCAGGCCCTGCTATGCCTGGAGCTCCTGGGTGTGTCCCTGCAGCACTGAGGGCTGCCTGGTGCCCCCCGTGTCCTGCTCCTGTCTCTCTGCGTCTCCCTGTCTGTTCAGTAATAAAAAGGTTGGAAGGCAGATCTGCAGGCAGAAGAGGATAGACCTGAGATCAGCACCAAGGAGGGAGTGCTTAGCTCCAGGGTTTCCACTAACAACAGTTATCAGTTACTGGGCCCTCAGTACTTGAGGCCCCAACAAGCTATCATCACAAGTCACCCCTCATCATCCATGGCCCTCATGAGAACTGAGGCTTCGCAGACTCGGAAAGGTAGTGTCATCCATGCAGGTACCCAGGTGGCCAGAATCACACAGGTAACTGGCTCGCCCTGGGCACTGGGGCCTCTGTCAGACACCCGGGCTCAGTCTTGTTGGACTTTGAGGCAGTGAGCTCAGCTTGGCAGTTTGGACATGGCTCCAGCGTGGTTACCAAGAATGGAAGCCCCTTGCTGAGAGGTAGAGCAGTGGTTCTCCTCCCCCTGGAGTTTCAGAATCACTGGGGGGCTTTGAAAACCTTTGCTGCTTGAGGCCAACCAGAGACTAAGTGAACTTGAATCTACGTAGGAGTGAGGCCCGGGAGAGAACCTCAAGTGTGAACAGAGCTGGGAAGCTGAATGATAATCAGAGCTGCTGATACTATGAAACCACACATTTTACTTGTGAGTTCTTTAAAAGTCTCCTCCTGGTAAAGAAGGCAGGTCATGAGGTTAAAGTGTTTATGGTTTATTTTGTTTAAAAAAGTAGAATCGGTAATATATTTATGAGACTTACATAAAAAATAATTAAATTGGATGTATGTTTTGAGTTATATTATTCTCTGGCTCCTCTAGAGAACACCTCATTCCTCAGTGGTAGCTGACACACGAGGTGTCATTCTGCTTTGACATGGCAGATTTTATGCCGAATGTTTTCACAAAAGTGTTAAAACTTAGAGGTTTTGTAAAGGGGAGTAAAAAATTACAGGGAAAGAAGAAAAAACCTACAGAGAAGGATGAAAAGCTTTAGAATTTCATTATTTTAGACATTTGTTATTGAATCTATTGGATGCTCTGGGATTTCAGACCTGAGAAAAGCCGGTGGTAGTCCTCTGTGCTGCTCACCAGGTATCTCCAGCCCTTTAAGGTGGGCGGTGATCCTTGTGCCCTTCGATTCCGTGTGGCCGTGTGATGCTGTGGCCAGTGAACCACTCCAGGTGGGAACTTTGGTGCCAGCGCACACTGGGCCCCACTTTCTCTTTTTCACTCAGTGAGGCATGGAGAGGGTCCTGGTGAGGGCAGGGCACCTGTGAGGTCGGTGTCAGCCCCATGGGGTGCACTGAACTCAGTGAGAACTCTTTGTTGTTGGGCCCACAACATAGCACAGCCATCTTTGACTGCGGAGGACTTGTCCCTAAGTGCCTGGCTAGAATCCCGGAGATGGGTGTCTGTCAGTAAGTTATGAACAAAGGCAGTGAGCTCACACACAGGGTCTACCAGTGTAGATGATTGAGCTCCTTGAAGTTAAACAGCCCCCTGAAGGCCATCAGAGAAGACAGTGGGTGGGTGGTTCAGGCATCTCCTATCCTTTTAGTGGGAATTGTCATTTAGCCTTAGGGCTCCCCTCTGTCTCAGAGGGGATCTTAGAGCTGAACAGGAAACAGTTTTGTAAACTTGTGTCTGCAAAGACTTTTCTCATGTTTTAGGCTTTGTTTCACTGGTGTTCACAGTATTTTCACCTTTGAACCAAAAGCCTTGTTTTTATCACAAGGAATATTTATCACAGGAAATAACTGGCAACACAGCAGGATCATGGGTGATGAAGGTTCATTTCCTGAAACGTACGTAGCGAATCCTTAGTCCTAGCACGGAAGGGCCGGTTGTAACTCAGAGTCTGTGGGAAGGCTCTGTTCTAGACTCCCTCAGTGGATGTGTGTGCTTTCTTCTTACCTGCCTGTTCCTAATGATTCCCTTACTACTTAAGCTGATAGGAAGAGCAGATATGTCCTGAGCTGCTGTTTATAGCAATGCTTACCTTGTTTTTTTTTTTTTTTTTTTTTTAATAGTGTTGTGGTCTCTTTTCAGCTCAGCAATGAAGCTACAGTGATATTTGTGGCAATGATTTATCTTTGGTTGACAAATTCCAGTGTCATGTTGAACTAGGATCGGGTGTTGTGACTAGCTTTATTATAGGAAAATAGATCCAATCCAGCGATGGGAAATTTCATGACAGGGATGTTGAGAATTGTGCATCTGGTGCATAAGTGTAGACTCTGGTTTTAGGCTCAATTCTGTTTGATTTCCTCTCCCAAACTTTTGCTTCACTTAGTCCCTCAACTTGGTTGTAAGCTGCTAAGGGCAGAGCCAATGACTCAGAGTCTTTGCCTGCCTCCTGCCTGGCGTGTGAAGGGGGAGACATGGGTGACTGGACACAGCGTGGTCAGGAAGATGAGTGGATATGATCCCTTCTAGAAAAACAAAGCAGTGCATCGCTTGGTAAAGTTAAATGCATAGTGAATAGAATGAGGCCTATAACAAAAGTGAGCTGATGTGTTACGAAGGCACCTGGCCATAACTGGAGGACCAGAATCCTTGCTCTTGCAGCTGGAGTCTTGTTCCTGAGGGCCAGAGTGGGGAAGGGAACCACGGTTTGATCATAGTGGGCATAATGGCATCTGCTGAAAATAAATGGCCATCGACAAAGCAATGGAAAAGCCAAACCAAACATAAATTATACTGTCAGTTATTTCTGTCTCTTTGAAGCAGGCCCAAAGGGAGGTGGGGAGAAAACACCAGGAAGTTTAAAATCATAAAAATGTTAAAAATTGGCAGATGACTGGCCAGTATGTGAGATGTCCCACAGCTGACAAAGTCCATTTATTTTGCTTCTGAGTACATGAAATGGGCTGCTCTTCAAAAACTGACTGATAGGTCAATTGTTTAAAATTCACAATACATTGTCCTATTTAAATGTTATTAAGAAGCTTAGATTTCTGCAAAAACCTGTTGAACCAAGTGTTGAACTAGCTAAGCATTGTAGTGCTAATAGAAGATGCTGTGGGAACAGGACAGGAGGGAATGGGACCTTTTTGTCAGCTCCTTAGTGCTCCAAAGGTGGTAAGATTGCCCAGGAGGAGGATAGACAGATGTTGGTCTCAGAGCCGGAGGGTATCTGGCAGCTTTGGGCTGATGGCACTGACGCCTTTGTCTAGTTTTATACCATAAACAACACTCTTGTCCCTGTTGCCGGTGCAGAACAGCGGCAGTGCACAGCTTTGGTTAGGTTGCCTTTTAACTCAAACCTAGAAAATGGGGAAAAAGTACTTTAGTAGGATTCATAAAGGTGCACGGCAGAGAGATTTCTATTGGAGTCCGAAAAGGAAGCTGTGGGAGATGGGGCTACTGTTGTCAGGGGTGGGTAAGGAGTTCTTCCTGTGCTCTCTCCTGGCAGTGCTGGCCGGGGAGGGGGACGCGAGGACTGGGCAGGTGGGGGCTGCAGGAGGGTGTGCAGTGTTGGTATTAATGACCTAAGGGGAGAGGTTTTGATTTTTTTTAAAAGTGAACTGTGCCTTTGTCCATGCTTCGTTTTGCTCATTTTTATAATTTTATTTGCTCTATTTTTTCTAGCTATGTATTAGTGTTTGCAAAGTTTTGGAAATAAATGTTTGATTATAAAGGTCTGAAAGTTATATTCAAATTTTGTTCCAAAAGTCTTCTAAAAATCAGTTGGCTATAAATTATTATTTTGGACTAGCATTTTGTAAGATTTCTCTAGCCTCATCTCAGTTCCCATGAGGTTTTTTTTAAAATATATTTTTATTGATTTTAGAGAGGAAGGGAGAAGTAGAGATAGAACATCAATGATGAGAGAGAATTACTGATTGGCTGCCTCTGGCACGCCCCATACTAGGGATCGAGCCTGCAACCCCGACATGTGCACTTACCAGAATCAAACCCAGAACTTTTCAGTCCCCAGGCCAATGCTGTATCCACAGAACCAAACCCGCCAGGGCAGTTCCCATGAATTTTTAAACTAATGTGTAAGCACTAACTTGACTTCTAGTCTGGCTTTTAAAAAAATTAAATATCTTATTTGGGGAATCATTATAGAGTCACATGCAGTTGCAACAAATAACAGATTGAATTCTATGTCCCTGGACTCAGTTTCCCCAAGTGGTAACATCTTGCAGAGCTATGCTGATGTTAATACATGAGCAGAATCATGAGCAGGGTGCTGATGTTTATACAGTCAGGGTGCCGAACACCTTCCTCACCACGGAAATCCCTTCTGTTGCCCTTTTATAGCTATACTCACCTCCTCCTCTCCGCCCCCACTTATCACTAATTTCTTCTCCATCATTTTGTCATTTCAGGAATATTATAATGGGAGGGGGTTTAGGGGGCAAGGTAAAATAACTGAAGGGATTAAGAAGTACAAATTGGCAGTTACAAAATAGTCATGGGCAGCAAAGAGACTACAGTCAGTATTGTAATTATTGTGTATGGTGCCAGGTGATGTATGCTGCCAGGTGGGATCCCTACATAAAGTATTTAAATGTGTAAACAGTGTGCTACACACCTAAAACAAATATTGAATGTCAACTGTAATTGAAAATTATTTTCACTTTTTAAAAATTAAGTGGGAAAAAAAAGAATATTATATCCAGTATGTGACCTTTTGGGATTGCCTTTTATTTCTTAGTATAAAAAAATCCCCGGGGATTCATCCAGTTTGTATGTATCAGTAATTTGTTGCTTTTTATTGCTGTATTCCAAGGTGGATGTCCCCGTTGTTGAACCTGTTGGAGTATGTCTGGATTCTGGCCATTTTAGGGGCTATTACAAATGGAGCGGCTCCAAACATTTGCGTGCAGGGTTTTACATGAGCATAGTTCTCATTTCTCTGGGATAGATGCCTGGGAACAATTGCTGGGTTGCATGGTAGCTGTGGTTTAGCTTTTAAAGAAATGACCAAGTTGTTTTCCAATGTTATGCAAGTTTACATTCTTACCAGCAATGTATAAATGATTCAGTTTCTCTGCATCCTCACTAGCATTTTGTATTTTCACTATTTTGTATTTTAGCTATTTTGCTAGGTGTGTAGTGGTATCTCACTGTATGTTGCTTTGAGTTGTTTCTTTAAAAAAAAAATTAAAATTGACATACAATAGTATATTAGTTTCAGGTGTACAACTCCATGATTAAACATTTATATAACTTACAAATTGATCACCCAGATAAATCTATTAGTCCTCTGACACCAAATTCCCTATATTGTACTTTACATCCTTGTGACTATTCTCTAACTACAGGGTGGAGCAAAAGTAGATTTATAGTTGTGAGTACATGAAACACAATTTATTCTTATATTATTATTTATTAGTTATTGTATTGTTTTTCATGCCAAAACCTGTAAACCTACTTTTTCCCCACCCTGTAACAATTCACTGTGGTTTTAATTTGCATTTACCTGATGGCTCATGATGTTGAACATCCTTTCATGTGTTTATCTGCTACCTGTTTATCCACTTTGGTGAAACATCTGTTCATGTCTTACCCACTTTTTAATTGGATTATTTTTTTTACTGTTGAGTTTTGAGAGTTCTCATGTATTCTAGGTATAACTCCTTTGTAAATTTCTTCTCCTAGGCTGTAGTTTGCCTTCCTGTGAACTGTGCAGAGCCGAGTATTTATTTTGAGGAGGTTTACTTTATCAAATTTTCCAAAAAATTTCTGCTATGTTTTTATTTTTAAGGTTGTATGTGTCTACTACAGGCCCGGTGCATTGATTTGTGCATCGGTGGGATCCCTAGGCCTGGCCGGTGCCCTCTTGAAATCTGGGATCCCTCGGGGAATGTCAGAGCCAATTTTGGTCCAATCTCCACAGGCCAGGCTGAGGGGCCCCAGCAGTGCACGAATCCGTGCAGTGGGCCTCTAGTATGCATATCAGATATTTGGTTAATCTCCTCCTGCCCTCCCCCCTTCCCTCTGAGATTCATCAGTCTGTTCCATGTTTCCATGCCTTTATATTGAGTGTCTGCCTCCCAGTGGTAGTGCATGTTATAGCTACTGGTTGGATGGTTGAATGGTCGCTTAGGCTTTTATACATATAGATAGATGTTCAATTGCTCAAGTACCACTTATTGAAAAGACTGCCCCCTCTACCGAATTGCTTTTGCACCTGTCAAATACTGGTTGGGTGTGCCCATATAGGTCCATTCTAGGTCTCTTTTCTGCTCCTCCATGAGAAGAGTTCTCACCTCTCTGTCTCTTAGCTTACAGCGCCAAACAGGAGTTCCTGTTCCTGACAGCCATGCCGGATTCTGGGAAGTTACAGGGAGAGCAGCAGTTTCCTGAGGAACTGAAGGTAGGCACAGCCAGGTAGAGGGCTTTGTCCCTTCCGGCCTGGTCAGCAGAGGAGCAGGGCCGCCTCTTCCCATTCTTCCCTGTGGTGTCTCGGTCTGTGTAACGTGGGTTGAGGAGAAGGGCAGGGTTTGGAAGTTTAGCTGCTGTGGGTGAATGCTGGAGCACCTCCTAACTTTTCCTGTCTCAGAGTCCTGAGCTGAAGATACAGGCAGAAAGGCTCACTGTATTCCGGGCAAATCAGTGAAGAGACTCGCTCTGACAATTCCTGGCAGTGTTGAAAGTGTTAGAATCATAAGAGGAGAAAATGCTATAAGCCACCCCGGTATTAAAATGGCCAGGTGGATCAGTGGTTAGAGCATCCCCTGGGTACCAAAAGGTGGTGGATTTGATTTCAGGCCAAGGGCATCTACCTAGGTTGTGGGTTCCATCCCTGGTTGGAGCTTGTATGGGAGGCAACAATTGTTGTCTCTCTCTCTCTCTCTCTCTCTCTCTCTCAAAATAAATAGAAACCTATCCTCAGGTGAGGATTAAACAAGGAAGGAAGGAAGGAAAAAAGGAAAGAAGGAAGGAAGGGAGAAAGAAAAAAAGAAAGAAAGAGAAAGAAAAGAAGAGAAAAGAAAAGAAGAGAAAAGAAAAGGAAGATTGATTTCTTCCCTGGTAGCCCAGTTGTCTTGATATGCCAAGATTGTGGGTTCAATCTCCCATCAGGGCACATACAAGAAGCAACCAATGATTGCATAAATAAGTGGAACAACAAATCAATGTTTCCCTCTTTCTCTCTCTCTCTCTCAAAAAATCAATAATAATAAAAGATTTTTTAAAATGGGGTGCATACAAAGAAATGACAGTCAGGTGGGTTGGGGTGCAGTGAAGCCTCAGCTCTGGAATTGGGTGGCAGAGCCATGACTCTTGTTTTTTTGTTTTTTTTTTTGTTTTTTTTTTTTTTGTGTGTGTGTGTGTGTGTGTGTTTTAATTAATTTCAGAGAGGGAGAGATAGATAGAAACATCAGTGATGAGAGTGAATCATTGATTCATTGATCGGCTACCTCCTGTACGCTCCATAATGGGGATCAAGCCCAAAACCCAGGCATGTGCCCCTGACTGGAATTGAACCCGGGACCCTTCATTCGCAGGCTGACACTCTGTCCACTGAGCCAGAACAGCTAGAGCTGTGACCCTGTTTTCATTTAGGCTGTGCTCCGTGTGGAGGCAGCAGAGAGCCTGTCTCAGGTACACACGGGCTAGAAGCTATATCTCCTATATACTATGTTTTTGAGGGAAAAAGCTATTGAAGACCTGTTCCAGATAACAGAATGGTCAGAACCAACACTCAAAAGGTGACATCACAGAGAAAAGAGTTGCAGCCCTTCCCCAGTGTGGCTGGGCCCCAAGCTCAGAAACCCAACAGGAGCCTGTGCTCCTGCTGCCTCGGGCTCATGGGGTCTGTCAGCACACCCGCCTCTGCGTGGTCCCGGGTCCACTTTCCTGCTGGCATAGGCTTCTGGCATCAAAGCCTTCATTTCACAGTCCTGGATTTTCTCATCTGGTTGATAACTCCTTAGAGAATAGGCAAGTGCTGGCGTGCTCCCTCCCGCGTGTGCTCACAGTGGCTCAATGCCTCCCTCCCTAACCTGCATCTCCGGAAACACCGCCCTGTGCTTATTGCTGCTGGACAGGGGCTGCCTCGAGCTGGTCTGCCTCAGGCCGGCCTCTAGGTGTGGGTTCTTGACTTTGTGTAGGGAAGATTTTGCAACATGAGTCCAAATGGGTTTGAATGTATGTTTATTAAAGCTGGGGACAGTGAAACGAAGGAAGGAATCGGGTAAAGAAACAATGGGGGAAGCCTAGGCAGGGCTCTGCTTTGGCTCTTTACAAATGTTCAAGGACAGAGGTGAGCCTGGGTGGGCTGCTTGAGCTCACAGGGAAGTCAGAGAATTAGGGGTTTTGGAGACAGGCGGTGAGCCCAACTTGAGTGGTCTTTGTCCCCTCTTCTCTGGTTACGTCTTATATCTTAGGTCTGTTGAGCATTAATGGGGTTTTTGTTATTTGTTCCTTCATCTGTCCTTGGTTCTAGCTGGCACAGGTGGCATTGATTGGGTCTTTGTTTTCCCAGGCCTGCGTGATTTAAGATCTATTCTCTGGTTAGGGAGGAGGGTATAAACCATTTGTTCTCAAGTGTCCTTCGTTGGGGAAGATAAAGTCTTTCGATTCACAAGCTGCTGCAAGCTGCCCAAACTGTCTGGCCTTGTTTCATTTTTTTGTCTCAGTTTCCCTATTCCACTTACCCTGGGATTTTCCTAGCTTCTAACTCTCCTGCTACACTTACCACTGAGGAAATGGAGCCATGGCTGCTGCATTTTCAAAACATACTAAATGACTTAGGTGTTTTTTAAATTAATAAACCAGAATATCTTCCAAATAGTCACCATGTAGTCAGCTGGTCCTTCAATACAGGCCATGCAGGCAAACATAGAATCACTGGGAGGGAAATTCTATGGAGAATGGGGAGTGGGGGGGAGGGTGAGGGGAATAGGGAATTGGCATTTCCTGAAGCCCTGAATGAAAAGTGTCCTACAGTTTCAGAAAATTATGGCTCATAATTTCATCAGCAAAGTGACTAGCAGACACCCCACCGACCACCCCTCATTTTGTCCAAGCTGAGGATGAGGAACAAGAGGGCTCACTTTTCTTTGAACATGGACTTGAGTCCCAGGCCTCTGGAGGTGAATCCAGTGCACAGGGCCCTGCTTATGTCGGATGCAGCTTCTCTGCCTGCCCAGCTTGAGGCCAGAGCAGGGCTCCCCAGCGGCAGCCTCTTCTGCTAAGGAGGCTCTCATGCCCTTTTGCCTCCCTGTCCCTGCAGCCAACGGGGAAGGTGCTGTCAGACGGCCAGCTTGTTCAGCCCTTGGTCTATATGGAGCGCCTGGAGCTCATCCGAAACGTCTGCAGGGACGAGGCGCTGAAGAACCTCTCACACACGGCAGTGTCCAAGTTTGTCCTGGACCGAATATTCGTCTGTGACAAGCACAAGATCCTCTTCTGCCAGACTCCCAAAGTGGGCAACACACAGTGGAAGAAAGTGCTGATCGTGTTAAACGGTACGTTCCGTGCCCGTAGTGTGCCCTCCCTTGGTGACTTTGGGGTTTGCCCTGGGAGGGCCATTGTGACCTGGGGGTGGCGGGAGGCAGACAAGGGGGCAAGGGAGGAGCCACAGGGAGGGACATCTCCTAAGAGGAGCTGGTAACCTGTCAGACAGTTCTGTGTTGTATTTAGTGGGGTTCATTTAGATACTGAATGTTTTCAAAGGGGCACCCCTAAGGCCAAGGCCACGGTCTCCTCACTTTCCACAGCAGAGTCCCCATCTCAGGCAGCCTGATCACCTGGTGGGTCCTGTTTCTTCTCTTCAGATTCACAGCGTTAATTCTTACTAGATACTGGCTCTGTCCTTGTCATCCAAGGCCCCACGCTCACTGAGTGCCAGGAAGCCGCCCCACAGCCGCCCTTCCTGTAGTGAGAAGGGCCCCTTCCCCAGGCCTAGGAGGGAGCCTCTACCCACACACAAAGGATTCAGTGCCACGTGGGCAGAAAGAAATGATCCTCATTTTACACCAAGCATCATATTCAGAGGATTTAACTGACTTGCCTCAGGAAATCTGATGTTTTTCTTGGGAACAAATGAGATCACTGACAAGTGACCTCATACAGTAGTTTTTTATTATTCACTGCTCTTCCAGACACCATGTTTATTAGTTTAAACTCTATGTACTCTGAGCTGACAAGATACTTATGGGTTCTATGTCTTAAATTCAGCTGTAAAAGAAGCACAGCAGTGTGACCTGGATGAAGAATGCGACCTGGCAGCCCTGAGGGTGGTGGCCCGGTGTCTGGCCTCTGCCCTCAGTCAGGGGTCAGAGTTTGTTGTCAATGACATTTTCCCAGGTTGGCTGGGGAAGGAGAGAGACACTCGCCTCATTTTCTGGTATATAATGCAAAGTGTGGGTAATCTGAATGCATGTTGGATTTTTGATGTCATAGAATGAGATTACAATCAAATTTGAAACAATGAATATACGATTCTTACAAATCTGCCACCACTGTATGCAACATCAGTGGAGGGCAGGACAAAAGCAGGAGCAGGTGGCCAGGCCGTGTGTAGGCGCACCGGAGAGGCACCGCAGCCCTCCCAGCCACTGCGGCAAGGAAGCGGCAGCGGAGCCAGCCGTAACCCTCCTGCTGGTGGAGGTTCTTGCCTTCAATTGTAAAAATTCAGTTTGTAAAAGAACACAGCATCTGTGAAGCGTGATAAAGCAAAACACAATGTGACAAGGTATGCCTGTAAGAGGAAACAGGTGGTCCTGTGTCTGCCTTCTGCCGGCCCTACCTGCGCCTGGATGGGGACAGATATCTGAGCAAGTCCATGTGCAAATCCACAGGTTGGTTCATTTTACAGACTTGCCCATGTAGAGCCATCCACAGCAGTTAGTGTAGAGGTCTAGACTTGCACTTAAACATTTGGGGGAAGAATAAAAAAAAATAGACAAGTTGTGGCCACTGCTTAGATGGCCCAAGAGAGATTTCCCCCCACCAGACTTCACATGTAACAAGACAGGAGTAACACAAAGATGGATGTAAAGGTTTGCAGAGTCTTGGCTAAAAGCTCAGGTAATGACACTTTATTTCCATTTGTCTAAGTTTGGAAAAGAATGAAAACCTGCCCAACCCACCAACCCAAGGATGCCCCTCCCCAGGTTACATTCATCAGCCTGCCTCTGAGCACTGTGGCTCTTGACCTTGCCATTTTCTTCTTAGTCACTCCGTCTCATCCTTAACCCTTGCTTCTGTCTATCCCACAACATTAGCTGGGTTGTTCGGCACCAAATATCTGTGCCACTTGCCACATCTCTGGGGTGCCCTGAGGTTACCTAGGAACCCATCTTAGGCCCAGGGATGTGGGTCCTTGCCTGTCGGAGTGCCGAGCCTGTGAGTGCTGTGGGTGAGCAGGTGGTTCTCTTGTGCCCAGTTTCACAGAGCTTGAGCGTGGGAGGTCGTGGGTATCCTGTTTGCATGCAGCGATGTGTCTGTTGGCGGGTTTAGCCCGATTCCAGTGCGGTACCAGGGTGGGTATCATCCTTCCTTCCACCCCTTACTTGCTCCCTTGCCCTCCTCCTCCTAACTCCTCTGTTTCCTCCTTTTGGCTTACAGGTGACCAGAAGCTTGTCTGCACTCTCATTTTGCCTCGTATCACTTGTCTTAGTTGGAATTCAATATCACGTGGATATTGGATCTAACTTGCGGGGAACATGGGCCTAAGTTAAGAGACGGGCATCTTCTTTAAAGGTAGCACTGAGGGGGGCACACCACTTCTCTTTTGTTTACTTCCCAGGTGCCTTTCCTTCCATCGAAGACATCCCTGAGAATGTGGTTCATGACCATGAAAAGAACGGCCTCCCTCGTCTCTCTGCCTTCAGCGATGCAGAAATTCAGAAGCGGTAGGAACAGGTTCCTGCAGGGAGGGGCATTTCGATACATCCCAGGCTCGGTTCTGTACTTGCCATATGTCCCAAGCTGCGCCCAGGACTCCAGAGGGCTGTTGGTTTGCATTGGAGAGAGGCAGCTTTGCACATGCCCAGAGTTCAGTGCATTTAATCTCAGAAATCTTGATGGGAATTTCGGATGGCTCTCCACCCTCACCTTCATGCAGTCCATAGGAATGAAGGAAGGTCATTTTCCCAATAGAAGTGAGTGGTCATTTTTGTTCTGCGCTGGTTGTGTTTAGTTTTCTGGACTCCTTACTGAATATGATTGTTACTTCATAAGAAAGGGGTTTAGGTTGCAGGGAAACCCCACTTAGTTTTCATTTTCCTCAACCGCATCATGCCTGCTTCCCCGCCACTGCCCTGGGAGTGGCGGTGTGGACTGGACCTAGCACAGCCTGGCAGACAGACACACCAATCACAGCAGGGAGGGCACTGGCACTTAAAACTTAGCTGTAAATGGAAAAGTTCTCTTTACTAGCTATGAAATGGCCCGCCAGAGCAAAGTTCAACAGGAATAAGAATGCCAGGACCCACCTGAACTTGGCCCTGCCTCGCTCATTAGCACCTTCTCTTCTTTCCAGCCCTGGTTCCAGAGGCTTTCCAACGTGTCCAAACCCTTCAGAACGCAGCTGTTCAGTGCCAGAGCTGAGCTGGGTCAGGCTGCCCTCTTACCATCCTGGGCTTTTGCCAGGAAATGGTTAGGGCCTGCAAAGCACTGAGCAGTTTCTGGCAGGGGGTAAGCCTCTGCAGTGACAGCAGTGGCCTCACGGTCCTCATGGTGTCCTTGGGGCCCCGGCGCCACCACTGCCACTCCCTCAGGTCTCCTGGGCCAGCTCTTCGCCCGCTGGAGCCTCAGCCTCGCTCCATCTCCTACCACCACCGCTCTTATCTTTCCTGCCCCTGGCAATTTTGAATTTCGTCTTTTAAGATATAAAGTAATTTTCCTAGTCTCAGTTGTTCCTAGCTCATTCAGAGTTCCTGTCCTTAGGATTTTCTTCCCAGGAACAAAACCTTTAAATGTTCTTAAAATTTTGAAATTCTCAAGTAAAACAAAACGTAGGTTAAATAGATGTTTTCACAGCGGCCCCCTGGACAGTCACAGTCTCTGAGCTTCCATTTCCTCACTTATAACATGGGTGCTAACGAGCAGGTTGCCTTCAGTGGCATTTGGGTGGATTAAGCGGGCTGTGTGTGATGTGCTCATCTCAGGGCTTGCCCGGGTGAGGGTTCAGAATGTGGCGGCTGCAGCTGCTCCAGGTGTTTCTCCAATCTTCCCCACTCACTGCCGTCACCACCACTAGCACCGGCTTCACCTCTTGTTTATCTACATTTTTCCCTTAGCTTGAAAACCTACTTCAAGTTTTTTATTGTAAGAGATCCCTTTGAAAGACTGATATCTGCTTTTAAGGACAAGTTCGTCCACAATCCCCGCTTTGAACCCTGGTACAGGCATGAGATTGCTCCCGGCATCATCAGGAAGTACAGGCGGAACCGGACAGAGACCCGGGGCATCCAGTTTGAAGATTTTGTGCGCTACCTGGGTGATCCAAACCACCGATGGCTGGACCTCCAGTTTGGGGACCACATCATTCATTGGGTGACGTACGTCGAGCTGTGCGCGCCCTGCGAGATATCATACAGTGTGATTGGTCACCACGAGACCCTGGAGGACGACGCCCCGTACATCTTAAAAGAGGCGGGCATAGACCACCTGGTGTCATACCCCACCATCCCTCCGGGCATCACCGTGTATAACAAAACCAAGGTGGAGCACTACTTCCTGGGCATCAGCAAACGGGACATCCGGCGCCTGTATGCTCGTTTTGAAGGGGACTTTAAGCTCTTTGGGTATCAGAAGCCAGATTTTTTGTTAAACTAATGTGTAGATCTGTGAACGCAGATACCTTTGTTAGACCAGAGGCTAAGCAAGTGGAGATCTGAGCACAGAACTGACACTCCCTTCCTCTCACTCCTCAAGACTCCTGCGGGCCCCCGGGGGCCATGGGCGCCTCGGCTGGTGAAGCTGCACCCGACGGTTCTGGCTCATTGTGAACATCAGGCGTATTGAGGGCCTTCGCCCCCACGCCTGCCAATGCCATGAGGCCTTTGGTCTCCTGGAAGGGTAAAAGGACTACACATTTGCAGGAGCGAAAGTTACACACACTAGGGGTCATTTCACTCAGCTGACAAGGCGGGGAAGGCCTGCCTGTCACCCGGGGTCGGTGGGAAGGGTTCCTCGCACTCTCAGGAGACCCGAGAAGCTGATGGTGTGCAGAACTGGCAGGAGCTCATACGAGACCAAGTCTGTAATAAAATGTCAGCTCTGGCTCTCACCTTGGCGCTGCTGTAATCACAGAGGTAAACCATTCTTTCCACGACTGTCCCCTTCCTGTGGGATTCGGGGGTGACCCTACGGCACTTTTTGGCATCCGTCCTTTAAGAATACACGCCTGAGTACTGCTAGTCCCTGTTTCTGATCCTCTGTCTGCCAGGTGGTTACCTCATTCAGCCCAAGAGCTACATATTTGGAAAGGGGAGTGGAGTGTTCTTTCCACGTGAGAAGCGAATGTCTTTGGGAAAAGGAAGAGCTGGTGGGTTCTGGAGCTCAGGCTGCTGTGGATGTGGACATGCCGGTCCCGATGGCTGTCCCTCTCTTGTCTCTGTTCCACCTGGAGGGGCAGCGGGGCTTCCCTTTCCTTCTCCCCAGGCCCTCCGCTGGGGCTGGAGGCCAGCAGGGCAGCGTTGCAGTCCCTGCAGTTTACACGGTTCAGTTTCATCTCAGCCAATGGCTCCCCGGACCTGCTTTGTTAGTGCCGTCATCCCGGGCTGTACGTTGAATGATGAGGTTCACCAGCAATAAAATCCTGGGCGGAGGCAGCCTCCAGGAACGCATCTTCCAGGCACTGGCACCGAGGAGCGAGCTGCGGCCACCATGTCAGGTGCCTGCTGACACCGAGGACCATTTCCCTGTGAGAAGTCCCACGTGCCATGAGCCCAGCTTTTCTTCCAGGCAGCTTCCACCTTCCCTTTCTCAGAGGGGCTGCCTGAGTCTGTAAATGTGAAAGTAATAAAGTAATAAATAAAAACTGTCCATCCTGACACGTGCTGCACTTTGAGGGGCTCTCTGTGGCCCCACCCGGCCCCCGCGGCCTGGCCCCAGCGAGGGGCCTGCAGGACTGCTCTAGTGGCTGCTGGTGGCAGGACCACAGAAGAGAAGGCCCACATGTGACAGGCCCCAGCGCTGACCAAGAGACGTCAGTGTAGTGGCCTGTCAGTTGACAAGCGGGATGTCACATGAGCTCTTTTTTGTAGTCTTGAGAAAATCATTTCACACCCTAATCAGCCAATTGATTACCTCTTTCCTATTTGAAATGTAACAGTGTGAATAATATATTTGAGTCTAAGGCCTTAAAGTTAGAACTAATTTTTTAAAAATATCTTTCTTCTCAGAAATAAAGGTCAGAAAGCTGTGTCCCCATGTGTCCCCAATCCTCTGGCTTTTAGATTTAGGTCACTATTCTTTGGCATTTGCGTCATTTTCCTAACAGATTTTGCAAACAGGTAGCGTTGGCCACCAGAACATCTGGACATTTCACAGTATGTCCCAATGTCATTCCCCATCACCGCCTCTATGTGTGGTAGATCTTGACCCCGCACAACGCCCCACTGCAGTCACCTCCACCAGAATCATTCACTTCCTTCCCTCCCCCGCCTCCCCCAAGACCTCAGGAGGAGGTGCCAGTTCTCCTGTCACCCAAACAGTTTCCCCCTCACTGCTGCCTTGAGGAGCTTTGCAGACGCAGCCTGGAGCCAACCCTCACACTGCTGGGTCCTTCCTGGAAACACACACTGCCTGTGCCGGGGACCTCCCTCACCTGGCAGGTGTCGCTGGGCAGCTGTCTCAACCTGTGCCTATGCCCATTCCAGGAGCCCCATGTCCTCAGCTCTGGGACTTTGTGGCTGACGCTGGACCTGCCAAGGGGTAGGATGGAGTGTCCCTACAGGGTGGGCACTAAGGTGGTTGTGGGCTGGGGGTGCCACCAAGGTATAGTGCTCACAGCTCATTCCCTTCCCAGGTAAGGGGATGGGCAGCACAGGAGATGGTGGCTGGTGGGAAATGTCAGGGTGAGAACTCAGAAGTAACATTAAGCTTGGATTTGAAAGAGGAATAAATAAGACCTGGCCGGTGTGGCTCAGTGGATAGAGTGTCATCCTCTACACCAAAAGGTGTAGCTTTGATTCCTTGTCAGGGTGCATGTGGGAGGCGGCTGATCGATGTTTCTCTCACCCTCATTTTAGGCTTTCTTTGTGTCCAATGGCCTGAAGTCTCAGAGTGTAATAATAAAAATTTTACTCAATATTTGTGTACATTGTGTTGCTGTCTCATAGCAAGACTGAGGAATCAGTGGGTGTGGGAGAATATCTAGGTGCTGCCCTTGTTCCGTTTCATTCAGGCCCCTGGGACAGTGACTGCAGGGACGTCCCCACCAGCGTATTTGCGCTGAGTATGTAGGCCCTGTTCACATGGTATTCAGATGCCCTCTCCTGCACCCGCCTCCTGCTGGTGTGGCACCACAGCATCGTGGGTTCCTGTTCGCCTCTGATGCTATGTAACGGCACTTCTGACATCACTGGCCAGAGGATTGGTGATTCTCTTTAATTTGCAATCTAAATTGGACCATAGGTTTTATAAAATATTAACTACTTGGACGTGGTAACAGCTAAAATGTAGAGCATTAGAAGTTGTTACTCTTCGTGAAGAAAAAGTCTGAACAATTTGAAAACCAACAACTTTTCCTGCACCCATCCTCCTGATGCCTGCCCAGGCTCCAGAGCACAGCCTTCTCGTTTCTGTGGGAGTCGGAGCTGCCGGCGCCTTGAGCTCTGAGGAACATTAAACGGTAATTGTGACAGATTGCTGAACACTGAGTGTGGATGCGGTTAAGAGAGAGAAACTGCAGGAGGCTGTGGTCTTAGGTTGCTACTCTTTCATGGGTTTTACTTCTGGAACCCCACCACATTCTTGTGATGAAGAATCTGTCCAGATAAAGATACCACAACGGAAGAAAACTGCATGTTAATAAACTTGATAATTACAAATGTAAAATCCTCAACAAAATGTTATCAAACCGGTTTCAACAGAACATTAACAGGGTCATATACCATGACCAAGTAGGAATTATTTCTGGGATGCCAGGAAGGGTCAACATATGCAAATCAATCAATGTAATACACCACATAAATAGAATAAAGGCCAAAAATTCCACGGTCATATCAATAGATGAAGAAATAGCTCCAAGAATCTATGGCACAACATCATGCCTGTAGTTAATAAATAATGTATTGTGCACTTAAAAATATGTTAAGATGCTAGGTATCAGGGTAAGTATTAGCACAAAGAGAAAAACCCATAAGTAATGGGATATAAGGAACTCAGAGGTGATGAAAATATTTAATACCTTGGTTGTGGTATTAATGATAGCAACATACAACTCCTAAGTTGTATACACTAAGTATGTGCATTTTGCTATACTAATTATACCTCCATAAGTCTGGGGGAAAGAACGTAATGCTCAGGAACTAGGATACCATTTGTACCTTGGTTTTGGTTTTAATGTCATTCTCCAATAAAAGGAACAAAAGCTTCTTGAAGAAATGGTTGAAGCTAAGACCCAGGTAATATGCCATATAATAAAAGACTAATATGCAAATAGACAAAATAGTGGGCAAAACGAACAACTGGTCACTTTGATGTGCGCTGACCACCAGGGGGCATTTCCAGAACATGGTGGGTATTGGCTGGTGGGATGGTGAAGCAGGTGAGTGGGGGCACTAGACCAAGTCAGGGCACCAGTCACTGTCATCGGGGCAAGCCTCTGTGGTTACTGAAAATTCTTTGCTCCTGCACACTGTGGTCCTGCCTGGCACTCACACTCCTGGCCAGCACTGGAACCACCACTCACATTCACTGCCAGCTCCAGCTCTGCTTGTATCCAGAGCCGGCACCGGAGTTGCCACTTACACCTGCTGCTGGTGCTCGGCGCTGGTCCCAATCACACAGTGTCATCAGTGGGTGTGAGCGGCTGCCAGCCCTGATCACCCCTCAGGGCTTCTTCACCTCCCCCTGTTCCTGAGGGGCTATCAGGGCAGCAGCTGCCGCTCGCACCTGCTGACAGTGCCGGCCCTGCTCACACCCACTACTGGTGCCGGCCCCAATTGCTCCACACTGTCAGTGGGTGCAAGTGGGGTAGGTGTTGTCAGCACATGGAAGTGGTAGTGGCGGAGCAGAGGGCACTGAGGGCTGCAATGGAGGAACCTTGACAGGGTTTGGGCAGGAGGCAGCTGATCCACATTTTATCCATGTTTGTTTCCCTGTCTCTCCCTTCCTCTCTCATATATATGTATATGTATGTGTATATATATGTGTGTGTGTGTGTGTGTATGTGTGGTCTTAAGATGTTTTATTTTATATACTAGAGGCCCAGTGCACGAAATCCAAACACTGGGGGAGGGGTCACTCAGCCCAGCCTGCACCCTCTTGCAGTCTGAGATCCCTTGGGGGATGTCCACCTGCCAGTTTAGGTCCGATCCCTGGGATCGGACTTCTCTCTTGCATCCAGGATCCCTTGCTCCTTAATGCCAGCCTGCTCACTCCTTACCACTCAGCTCGCTGCTCCTTAGTGGCAGGCTCTTTACCGCTTGGCTCGCTGCTCCTTAGTGCTGCCTCGGAGGTGGGAGAGGCTCCAGCCACTGCCTCTGCACTCACCAGCAGTGAGCCTGGCTTCTGGCTGAGCACTGACCACCAGGAGGCAGCTCCTGTATTGAGTGCCTGCCTCCTGGTGGTCAGTGCACATCATAGCGACTGGTCATTCTGGTTGTTCCACTGAAACGGTCGCTTAGGCTTTTATTATATAGAAAATTCATGCAAGAGTAAGCCTTCCTTCCCCCGGCTGTTGGCACCAGCTTCCCTCCAGGACCCAGGCTGCCGGCACTGGCTTCCCTACAGCACTTGGGACCTGAGCTTCCCTCCTCTGGCTGCTGGCAGGCACCAGGACCTGGGCTGGCTTCCTTCGGGCCACCCACAGGCACCCGCGACCCACACTGGCTTCCCTCCAGCCCAAGCTTGATCAGGAAGGACATCCAGAATGATGTCCGGAAGACATCCAGTCTAATTAGTATATTACCCTTTTATTATTATAGATATGACTATATATATATATATATATATATATATATATATATATATATATATCCATCCCTAATATGCAAATAGACTGAATGAACAGTAGAACAACCAAACAACTGGTCGATTTGACGTGTGCTGACCACCAGGGGGTGTGCGTGGAACATGGCGGGTGTCGGCCACAGCTGGGTGTTGGAGCAGGGGAGTGGGGCTGCCACACCAAGGTGTGGTGCCAATCACTATCATTGGGGCAAGCCTCTGGTGGTTACTGAAAATTCTTCGCTCCACATGCTGCGGTCCTGCCTGGCATTTGTACGTGCTACCTGCACCTGCTCTACTTGCACTCTCTGCTGGCGCCCGGTGATGGTTCTGATTGCTTGGCTCCATCAGCAGGTGTAAGTGGCAGCTCCTGGCCTGGATCACCCCTGAGGGCTTCTTCACCTGCCCCTGCTCCTAAGAGGTAATCAGGACAGCAACTATTGCTTGTACCGATTGTGGCACCGGCCCCAATTGTTCTGTGCTGTTAGTGGGTGGCAGTGACGGCGACAAGAGTGGGGCTGCTGGCAGATGGGACCAAGAGCTGCGGCAGATGGGGCCAGGTGGGGGTGTGAAGGATGGGCCGAGACTCAACCCTGTGCCCACCACAGCCCCGCAGCCCACATTTCCTTTCAAGGTGCACAAATTCATGCACTGGGCCCCTAGCAAAAACCAGAATCTCTAATAAGCAGAAAAAGAAGAAACTGTCACTTCTAGTATTTCCACTTCCTAGAGTTCACTAGTGTTAGCACTTTATGCATTCCAAACTGTATTTCATCATTTTACCAGTTTTATACTTGTTTAATTATCAGAAAAAAGTAAACGTTTCAGAAGTTATTTTTCAAATGTATGGTATAGTGAGCATCCTTCCATATCAGTATATATACACAATCACATGTCTATGTACATCAGTAGGTATCATCTACATATTTTAAATCAACAACTTTAGTCTATTTATTTAAGATATTTAATTTAATAGATTTTAATTTATACAGCTAGGTATTTTTGGAAATGATAATTATTTACTATTATAAATATACAGTTGGGATGTATTCCCCTTAGTTATTTCAAGCAATGCCTAGAACTCTTAGAACACAGAGAGAGAATGCTTCCAGGACATGCCAGGGCAGGGCCTCTGGCTGGACCAGGCTCTGGCTCCTGAGCAGGCCCTTCCTCTGGCTCTGGAGAGTCTGGAGTTCCGGTTGTGGACCTGGAGCAGGAGAAAGAGAGAGATTTACTCACATACCTGGCTTTCCCGTGACTTTCCACAGACAGGAAAGATGCCAGCGCCTTTAAGGGAACTCCAGCCCATGAGCCTGCCCTCCCCGGGTTTATCTGCCCAGGTTCTCAGTCCCCCTCGCCTTCCTGAGTTTCCTCAGTGGGCTCAAGATGCCCAGCTCTACCCATAGATTTTGGGCGTGGCCCACCAGGTGTGAGGCAGGGGAGTTTATGGGCCCCAAGGCCTATTCTATGTCGAACAAGACGAAAGTAAGGAGCTGCCCAAAACCCTGGAACTGGTCCAGCCAGATTCCCACCATCAAAGCAATGACCCTTGGGCAGGTGGGCAGTCAAGTCAGAGTTCCAGTCTTTCCTTCACTCTGCCCTCCCATGACACTCTTGTTTGGGACTGTGCAACCTCTGTGCAGTCCCCTCCACATCCAGGGACAACCCCATGCCAACTCCAGCCCCCATGTGGCTGTTCTGTTTGTAGCAGGTGTGGGATCCAGCAGGTTTAACACAGAGACTGTGTGAGACCCTTCTTCCCTCTGGCAGCTCTCCTGAAGGACCTGTACGCTGCCCACCCCAGCCCTCCAGGCCCCTGGGCATCTGGGCTGAGGACTGACAGACTCCTGAGCTGCCTGCTCATCACCATCCTCTTCTGAGCTCACCTGTGAGGAGGGGCAGGCAGAACGGGATAGGTCTGGGGTTGGGGGGAGGGAACTCTGAGGGACAACTCAGCCCAGCCTACCCTCTGGGTCTATAAAGCCAGGGACCCCATCACTGTCCTCTTTGACTCATGTCCTCCTGAAATAAGCTCAAATCTCCTTTGGGAATCAGAAGATGTGGAAGATCAGGGTTCTGCCAGGCACCCCCCAACTCACATTCCCCACTCTGCTGACACAGGGGGTCCTCCTTTTG